GATGTTGAATAGTTATTTTGAGAATGTAACGTTTGAACAATGTAACGAATGTAAACACTATCGGTTGTATTATTCCAAATGTTGGTGATGTTTTATGTTATGTTTCATGTATATGCATTGTAATGGTATTCAATGAGTCACGAAAGCCCTCGGACGTTTCCGCCGTCTGGTTCGGGGGTGTGACACCTTCTAAAATACAACATAAGAATATTAGAGACCCTTTTCGAGTATAAATACACTCGATAACTCCAACTTACTCGTTCCTTGGTGCCCAAAGGATTCTTACTTGGACTGCGTACCAACCCGGTATCTTCAGTAGTACGGGCCCAATACTACCGTCCATACCGCGTTGGCATTCATCCCAAGTCCTCCTCCTTGAGCCTCAAATCCCAAGTACTCTACTCTTTCTATCATGTGCTACTCACTAACAAAACTCTCATAAGCACCTCGCTGCTATCTAAATCACTCTTAAGCATCTCTAGCAGCAAAACCCCTAGACTAAGGCATCATATATCAGGCCACTCTAGTCCTAATAAGAATACCTAGTCTACTCTAGCATGCATATCGTAACTCATCATATAGCATACATAACATATCTGATAATCACTTATTAGGAGGGTATTTTGGGAAATCACCGTTCGGGCGCTGGCTGATCGTACACACGGCTCTGCTCTGTTTGTCTCAAGACTCTTTTTACTCTTTTTCAAAAATATTATTTTTATTATTAAAAGTTTCCTCAAATCCCCAGTTTGAGTTCAGATGCCCGAAGATATATCCGAATCCCTCAAACCAAGGCTCTGATACCAACTTGTAACACAGTAAAAATTTGAACAATTTTTCACTTTTGTAACCCATAAAATATCATTTGAAATCATAAACAAATCATTATATCAACATTGTATCAATACAAAACCCAAGATCAAAATATATATAAACTCCGGTATGCGTGTGTACGAATCATGCCGGCGCCTTCCCGCGATCATCGCTGGTACCTGAAACACATAACACATAACACTGTAAGCATAAATGCTTAGTGAGTTCCCCAAAATACCACTCTAACACATAATAGCCACTCGAGGCTGTAACTCTGTTGACCCTCAGGTCTATGTGTCTCAGTGGGGCCCTCCAGCCCCAACTCTCTATGGGCCCTCTGGCCCTAACTCTGTGGACCCGAAAGTCCTAACTCTGTGGACCCGAAGGTCCTAACTCTGTAACTCTGAATCATACATAGCACATATCACAATAAATCATAGCACATAAATAACATGCAATTACACTGGCATATAACTCTAAAATACTCTATCACATAACTCTGTTACCACACTAGGTAAAGTATAGTGAGAAGACTCACCTCAGGCGTCTCGGTAAATCTCTGACTCGGTAGGAATATTGCCTAGTCTTCGCCTATTCACATAAAGTAAATACTCTTATAAATATAATTCTCAAGACTAGACTCAACCTGCCTTTGGCACCCTCAGGAGGGAAAAAGGCTATTTTACCCCCCTCTCGACACAAGTACTCCATTGACCAAACCCTAAAAGTCAACGGTCACACTTTGACCCTACTCGCCGAGTGCACCCTGGTGACTCGGCGAGTTCACACATGTTCTTTAACACTTTGTCCCGCTTGGCACGCCGAGTCCCTCCCTATGCTTGACAAGTCATACTAGGCATGAATCGCGGGCCACCACGACTCAACTCGCCGAGTCTCAAGAACAACTCGGCGAGTACCGCCTTGAACTCCAGTCCTCTAACTCCCTTCTGACTCACTGAGTCATCCCCCAACTCAACAAGTCTACTCACTAAGCAATTTACGTGAAACCCTAACCCTACTCACCGAGTGTCAAGAACAACTCGACGAGTTCATGCCATGCACAAACTCTACTGGCCTCCTGAGGTCAGATCTGTTTCCCTAAATTAAAGATCTGGCCTTCCCAAGTATGAATGTCACGTAAAGCTCGAAACTTGATGCTTGTATAACAACAACAAGGCATCAAAAGGAGATTTAGTCCCAAAAATGGCAACCTAAGTCCAATAACCCCAAACTGATCCATAAAGCTCCAAGGGTTAAGGTCTCTGGACCTCTTTGAGTCCAGATCCAAGGCACAAACTCGAAGAGGGACCATTTGCTCCACATAATCACTCTCCAAAGGGGTTAGAAAACCCTAACTCTAATGATCAACACCAAAACTGAAGGAGGTTCGAACTATTACCTCAAAATGAAGTCTCTGAATCTCTGGAACTGCTAGAATCGCACCTCCCCTCTTGCTCTTGCACCTCCTTCTTTCCAAACCAAAGATACAAGGATCAAAAGTGACTTCTTCTTCCTCACAACGATTTGGCTCACTTAGGGTTCTCTCAAGGGATCGGTATCCGCAATGAGAGGCTATAAGTGCCCTTAAATAGGCTCCAAACCCGGGGATTTAGGGTTTCATTAAACAGCGTGGACTCGCCGAGTCCACTCATGGACTCGTCGAGTCCAAAGTGAATCTGGATGAACAATCATGACCCTACTCAGCGAGTCTACGCATCAACTCACCGATTTCCTTCTCATAATTCAAAATAATTAAATAAAATAATATACCTGGAAACCCGGTTGTTACAGTGACTTTGCATGGAAATATGGGAGACAATGCATTGTTACATGGTGAACAATATGGAGGTGGCACCTCCAAAGTCAACCCTCATTTTTTTTGTTAATTGATGTTGGGCCGAGATTTTTTGCCAAGAAGGTAGGAATGGAATAATTTGAGCCCATTAAACCTTAGTTAGGATTTTTGGAGCCTAAACATAATTTTTTGGCCCATTGGGCCCTTGGAAACACTTACGGCCCAAATAGAATAAAAAGGATGGGTTTATGGCTCACTAAGGTTCATTGGATTAGCTATATCCTAATAAGGCCCATTAGGGTTAGAATGAATCATTCTAGGCCCAAATGGTCCAAAATGTTATACATTTGTGAATTTGGTTCATTTAGAATCCAAATAGGGTTTCCATGTCCAATATAATTGAATTGGATGCTTATTGGTCCATTAGGCCCAATAAGGAAATCCTAGTCCAATATGTACTCAAACCTGGATTCTTCGGGTTTCCGGATCCTTTGTTGAACATAAAAGGTGACTTTCAATGAGGATTTGGTGATGTTTACTTAGTGTATATGTTTTACAATAGTTGAACGATTACACGGGAATAAATTTTCCTAGTTAAAATTGCTAGTTGTGACATCATCCCACCGTTAGAGGGAATTCCGTCCTGAAATTCTTTTGAAACTAGGATTGTGAAGGAAAGAATAAGTGAGGGTAGTTTTTCTTCCTTTGGTCTTCTCGTTCCCACGTGAATTTTGGCCCACGTTTTGCGCTCCATCGAACCTTCACACGACAACTTGAATACTCCTTTTGGCTCAGGGCATCAGCTACCACGTTAGCCTTTCCTGGTTGGTATTTGATCTCACATTCATAATCATTTAATAGTTTAACCCATCTTCGTTGCCTCATGTTTAGTTTCTTTTGATTTAGAATGTGTTGGGGGCTCTTGTGGTCTGTAAAGATGGTGCACTTGATACTATATAGGCAGTGCCTCCAATATTTTAAGGTGAAGACTACTGCCCCCAATTTGAGATCATGCGTGATATAATTTACTTCATGCGTTTTTAGTTATCTGGATGCATAAGCAATTACCTCCCCGCATTGCATAAGGACACAACCTAAACCCTGATTCGAAGCATCACAGTAAACTATGAAGTCTTCGGTTCCCTCCGGTAAGGAAAACACTGGAGCACTACAGAGGGATTGCTTCAAGGTTTGGAAGGTGATTTCTTGCTTCTCCGTCCAGTTAAAAGGTACGCCTTTCTGTGTCAATGTGGTCAGAGGTTTGGCTGTCTTAGAAAAGTTCTAAATGAATCTTCGGTAGTAGGCTGCTAGACCCAAGAATTGACGAATCTCCGTTGGCGTTGTCGGAATCGCCTAACCTTCAATGGCCTTGACTTTGGAGGGATCTACATGGATTCTTTCCTCGCTGACTACATGTCCCAATAAATTTAGGCTACAGAGCTAAAACTCACACTTGGAGAGTTTCGCATACAACTTTTCAGCTCGAAGGGTCTCTAAGATCTATCGGAGGTGTTGACTATGCTCTTCCTTGCTTCGAGAGTATATGTCACACCACCGAACCAGACGGTGAAAACATCCGGGGACTTGTGCATGACTTCATCTTGAAATATCATTACAGTGAATATAATTGAAACATAACATCATCATCATCACACATGTAATATAACAACATTCATTGTTTACATCAAGTATTGTATTTGAATATTACATGCCAAAATAGTAAGAGTATGATGAAACAAAATATAACACAATATCCAGTAGTTTGTTTCGTTCATCCTGCTTCAACGGTTTCTTGAGAATACAAGTTATTTTGAAAACGGTCAACATAAAAAATGTTGGTGAGTTCATAAGCATGTTTGTGAAAATGATTTGTATAACTTTGAAAACCACCAGAAAATCCGATATTTTCTGAAAATTGTTTAGTGTGTTTGTGTTAGATCTTGTATTAATGCATGTATGTTATTGTTTATTTGACTAAAAAGGTAAAGAGAATGTAGAGAGAATGTAAGAGCATGTAAAGAGAATGTTCCCAGATAACCCGACGTTGCCTGTAAAAAAATGGTCTTCCGTAAACTTCATAACGTTAATTCCTCTAAGCGAGTCGTCATAACCATACTAAATAATGACAATTTCACAAATCTTGGTGTCGTTGGACGCCAATTTTGACTTTGATTATAAGGTTTTCGTCACCCTAGACTGAGGTTGTGTTTGTTTTTTTTTTAAATCCTCTTCTAACCTCTTAGTGCTGCGTGGCGCAGCACACGCGCAGCACTTTTAAGTTCGCAGCAGTTTGTTTTTCTACAGACTTTGGGCTCAAAAACCTCTTCCCGTCCTCTTCCCCACACAGCATTGGTCTTAACTCTTCTAACCTCTTCTAGCCTTATTAAAAAAAATGCCCTACGCCCTAAAGAAAAAAAAACGTCGCTCCAGCCTCTTCTCGTTTGTTCTCCTTCTTCTTCTCGCATCCTTCCCATCGATCAACTTGCTGAAGACCGGCTCCAACCTCTGCTGCCCCTCCATCGTCGGTCGCGTTTCCCCTTCAATCACCGATCGCCACTGTTGCTGCCATCATCTTCACGTGCGATCTTTGCTGCCCTCGGTTCATCAGGTAAGTTTTTTTTTTCTGATTTCTTCTACATTTGAGTATCGATTGTATGAATTTGAGTACCAATTTTCCGATTTCTTAGGTTTGGTGTACGATTGTATGAATTTATATGCTCAAATTTTTTGACATCACCGATTGTATGAATTTATATGCTCGATTTTTGCTGCCCTCTTTTCTATCCAATTTTTTTGACATCAGGACCGATTGTATGAACTTATATGTTCAAATCTTTGTTGCCCTCGGTTTCATCAGCTTAACCCTTTTCTGTCCAAATTTTTTGACATAAGGACTGATTTTCTGCTAAATTTTTTTGACATCAGGACCAATTTATATGTAAGTTTATATGTTGAATATGTTAAAGTCTTTGCTGAAATGGTTTTTTTTAACTTAATTATTGAATTGTTATCACTTGTATTTCTTGAATGAAGATCAAGTTTATGTTTATATGCAAGTTTGTGCTTAAATTGTTAAACTTATTTGTTGATTGTGTTGTATAATCTTTGCTTATATGGTTTTTTTGTTCATTCATATTTGTTGATTATGTTGAAATATGATTAATCTTTGTAGCTAAAGTATGTATTCTATATTTTCTTTTTGTTGTTAGCAATGGGAGATAAACATACATGGACCAATGAGCAAACAAAATGCTTATTGCAAACTTGTATTGAAGAAGTGCAAAACGTGGGTAGAAAAGGTTTGAGTTTGCACAAACAATCATGGCACAAGTTAGGAACAACTATTAAGGAAAAATATGGCGTGGATTTGAATCAACGACAATTAAAAAACACCTATGATAACCTTAAAGCCAAATACACAGGATGGTTATACTTAAAAAACAAAACTGGAAACCTTTACAATCCACAAACAAATACTTTTAACTTAACAAATGAGGAGTGGGAGGACTTTAAAAAGGTATATATATATATATATATATATATATATATATATATATATATATATATATATATACATACACATATTTACATGTATATTGTTTATGTAGTTGCCATTTATTCTTATATTCCTTTTGTTACATTGATTGCGTTTAGGGACATCCTAAAGCCGCTTCTTTGAAAACCGTCCCATTATTGTTTCCAGAGCTTTGTGCAGAACTCTTTGATGGAAACAGTGCATCTGGTAATCTCAGCTATGCCACATCCCAAACACCATCAGGACATGGATCATCTTCTTTCCATGGCGCACCACTACAACTTATGGACGCCCCTTCCATTAACATAGATGAGGATGATTTCTTTTCCAATCATACTAGTGAGCATTTTACTCAGCCTCCACCTTCTGCTGCTTCACCTTCTGCTGATTCACCTTCTGCTGCCTCACCTTCTGGTAACCCTAACAAAAGGGCTAAAACATCAACTCCTAGACCTCGAGCTCCTAGTGCCTCACCTGATCCACCTTCTTGTGCCTCGCCTAAAGCTTCTATTACTGCTGATGATTTAGCATTGGAGATGCAAAAAGCTCTACGCCATTTGACTCAAGGGCCAACAATTCCCCAATGTTTAGAGAAGCTTGAGTTGCTCGAGTTAGACCCAGTAGACCCTCTATGATTTGTTGCATATCACATTTTTGGAGGGACGATGAATATAAGAAAGATGTGGGTAAATTTGCCTAACGATCCACAAATATTAAGAGGATGGATTGAGATGACAGCTACAAGTTTAGGAGTTCTAAAGGATGGAAAGATTGTTCGTTAGGTTTATATGTTTGAGTTGTTTAGGTTTTAATTGCATGTTTTGGAACTATATAGTTATGTTTTTTTGGTTCTTTGCTACTTGAATGTTATTTGTAGTATTTAGTACTTGAATGTTATGGTATGTGGTACTTTGAGATGTTATGTTATGTTATTTGGTGCTTGAAATTTATGTTATGTTTTTTAGGTACTTGGGATTTATGTTATGTTTTTTGGTACTTGAGATTTATGTTATGTTTTTTGGAACTTGAATCTTATGTTATGTTATTATCTTATGTTATTATATGTTTTGTTGATTAATAGGTTTGTAATGGATCACAACAAAAAGATACTACTCATAATTCTTATGTACTTATACGTCCACTACTTTTGGAAGAGGGGTGTCAAACGAGTGCGGGACAACGATTCGGAAATGACGGGACATGAGTTTACGTTAGAGTTACTTCACCGTAATCCTCTACAATGTCTTGAAGTGCTACGCATGTCCCGTGAATCATTTGTCCGACTATGTGCTCATTTTAGAGTAAATTACGCATTAAAGGATAGCAAACATGTGTCGGTTGAGGAGAAGATGGCTTTGTTTTTTATGATGATTGGTCATAACCAACGTTATGTGATTATCAAGCGGAGATTTCAACACTCAAAGCAAACAATTCATAAGTTTTTTCATGAAGTGTTGAGCAAAATGTTGCTTTTCGCACATGACATTATCGTACCAACTTCCTTTAATCCGAATCCAAACATTCCGGGACATAATAGGAGGCTACGGCGGGTGTTTAACGGAGCAGTTGGTGCACTTGATGGCACTTTGATACATGCTGTTGTCCCTGCAAACAAACAGGATTTATATAGAAGTAGGGGAAAAGGTGATTGTTACCAAAACGTATTGGCAATATGTGACTTCAACATGATGTTTACGTTTGTTGTGGCCGGTTGGGAAGGGATAGCACACGATTCTAGAATTTTATCAGAAGCATTAGCAAATCCACATGCACCATTCCCACTTCCACCACCAGGTAAATTTATGGTTATTTAAATAGTTTTATCTTAGTTTGAAAAATAAATGACTTTTTTTTACAGATAAATATTATCTTTGTGATGCCGCCTATGCAAACATTCGAGGTTTTATGGCACCGTATCGTAATGTGAGGTATTGGCTTGGAGATTTCTATCGAAGACGTGCATTAACAAATAAAGAAAAATTTAACCATGCACACGCAAAACTTTGGAATGTCATTGAGCGTGCTTTTGGTGTCTTGAAAGCACGATTCCCTATATTGAAGAGGATGGCACCATTCTCGTTGGTTACACAACGAAACATTACCCTAGCATGTTTTGCGCTTCATAATTTTATAAGAAGAGAGGGACTACACGATGAGTATTTTGCACGATATGATGAACCAATGTCTCGGTTCGGAATAACAATGCAATCATTGATAATGATGAAGATGAGATTCCAACACATGGTACTGCATCGGACCGTGAATATATGACTCAGTTACGAGATGAAATTGCCGAACAATTGATGCAAAATATGGAATGATAATTATTAAAGTTTGGTTGTATGAATTTTATTTAAAAATATTATTGTAAGACTAATTTGGTTGTTTGAATTTTATTTCATTGTTTTAAGATTACAGTTATTAAATTTTTGGTATTAAAAAACTACTTTCGGTTTATTAAAGTACTTTATTTTAAATTTTTTAATATCTGCAGCAGCCTGCAGACGTTAAAAAAACAAACATGTTTCTCAGTACAGTCTGCAACACTTTGGTCCACCTCTTCTGCTGCAGAGGGCTGCAGAAGTGGTCCGCAGACTTCTGACAGTTTCACTTCGGAAAAACAAACAGCACCTGAGTTAGTCTAACTGTAGCGAACAACTCAGGTGTGGGGTGTCATCCATGTATAGATCTATACACAAATCTCCGCTCTCCCTCCAAGAGACTCTGGTTATAACTACAGACTACGATCGTACACTTAATAGGTGCCAACCGACAAAAACTCACTAGATCCTTAACCGAATTTACGCGAAGAAAAATGTATAAACTCCTTCCAGGCCCAATGGTCCATGTAAGTGAACCACTAAGACATCGCTAAACATGTAAATCATTCAAGACCTAATTGGAATGAGATTATATAACATGGGCCCAAAATATATATAAAAGGACAACTAAGGCCCATTTCACATGTAAAGTATTTACAGACCCAAATAGCACACAAATAGTATCCAAGGTCCGTTGCACATGTTAATGGGTCAATGAGGCCCAATAAACATATACAGGACCTCTCACACATAATAATGGGCCACTAAGGCCCAATAACCTAGAAAATAATCAAATTAAATCCATTTGTTGGTTTATCATTGGTTTTGGCTCAAGTATTCACTAAAATAACATAAAAAGAAGAACACATATAAAATCCATTCCCAGGCCCAATAAACATGTAAGTGGACCACTAAGGCCCACTATACGTGTGTATTATTTCCAGGCTCAAAAGGAATATGAATGTTTATTCGGAACCCAATATACATGTAAAATGACACTAACGCCCACTAAACATATATATTATTTCCAGACCCAATAAGAATATGAATATCGTTTTTAACCCGTTTGTTATTGTTTTATTTATTTTAGCTTGATTATTTACAAAATTGATATATAAAGCCCACTTTTTGTAAAAATGATGTTCTTGGCCCAATAAGCCAAAATTTTAGAAATTAAGGCCCAATTTTTGTAAGAATAACACGTTAGTATCCATTTTGTTCAAAACTTGTGTTGATGACTAGTTTGTGGTAAAAATAACATATTAAACCCATTTTTGTCAAAATATTATTTTTGGCTTGATTTTTGTGGAAATACACAATTTTCTGGTTTTGGGCCTTTCCGACCTGGTTTTTGGAAAATTTGTAGAAAAATCATCTTTGGATCTGTAAATTCTGGAATTTTGGAATTTTTTTCTATGTTGTTCACAATTTTTCTCATAATTTTTAATGGCTTCTAACAAGTGTGAAATTGCTCACCTTCACAGGCTGGTCCGAAAGTATTTCAAATTTGATAGGCAGTTTTGTAAAACTCGCCAAAAATTGTAGAAAAATCGTATGAAAACATGAGAGTATTCATTTTAAAGGTATAAGTCTGAACTTTATCCATGCAAAACAGTTTTGAAAAATACTTCCATTAAGAGGGTCAAAACACTCCGAGATTGGGCCAAAATTTTCATGTCAAGGGCTGTTTTATGAGTTTAATTTGTAGATCTTACAACACAACACTCGTTTTTGCTATTTAAAGTGTAAAAATCTCAGATCTACTAGTTTAAATGTATTATATGTGATAAAACATACTTTTCTCAAGGTTCTTATGAAGATCTAAGTGATAAACTTCAAGTTCTTAACATATTTTTAGATTAATGAAGAAATCAACACATAATCACCAAATAATTCATGGAAAACACACATAGCCATGCATATACACATAGATCTACACAAAAAAAACTTGTATTCTCCCCCCAAAAACAAGTAAAAACCAAAACAAGGGGGTATGAACTCACCTTTTCTTTGATGTTTCGATTTTTGAAGAAGAAATGGAAGAAGATGATGTTGTTTTCGGCCTAGCTCACTTTCTTGAAAAGATCTTGAAGATGTCGACGGTTCTAAGAACATAATAAAAAAATATATGGATGTAAGAGGAGATCTTTGAAGATATCAAGAAGCTAAATCATAGTTCTAAGCAAAACTTACCAAAGATGATGATCTAGGTGGTAAACCTTCTTGAAATTGCTCTAAATCTCGAAAATCTTAGAAGCAAGTAGAGATGTTCTTGAGAGATTTGGAGATGTTTGAGAGAAGATGTGTGTGTGTGTGTGTGTTTGGTGCTTTAGGCCGAGAAGAAAAAGAAGGGAGTGAAGAAAGAGAGTGAGGAGATGGAAGTTCTTGATGCATGAGATTTATGATGGAAGTCCATCATACAATAATGATGTGTCTACTGCTAGTTAATCCACTTTTTTTTATTAAACATGGGCCGAGATTTGGGCTAGGAGGAAGGAGGGTAAATTAGTTTCGCCCAATTCTTTCTTTGGTTCGAAATGATGGAGCCCATAAAGAAAATTTTCGGCCTATTGGGCCTTTAGGGTAGTTCACGACCCAATATGGTATAAAAGAATATATTTATGGCTTACTAGGTTTAATTGGATTAACTATGGCCCAATAAGGCCCATTAGGGTTAGAATGAATCATTCTAGGACCAAATGGTCCAAAATATTATAGACTTGTGAATTGGGTCTAATAAGAGAGTCCTAGTCCATAAAGAACTTGAACCGGGATTTCTACGGTTTCCAACCCTTAGTTGAACATATGAGATGTATTTAAACGTGAATAGAGTATTCGCTTTTACAATGAATGATGGTTACATGGGAATAGAATTCCCTAGCAAAATGCCAATTGCGACAATATACGAGAATATCATCGATGAAAACGATCACGAATTTATCAAGAAATGGGCGACAGACTCAATTCATGAGGTCCATAAATGCAGTGGGGGCATTTTTTAGACCGAAGGGCATCATGGCAAATTCTTAATAACCGTAACGAGTTCAGAAAGCAGTCTTAGGAATGTCCTTATCTCGGACTTTAAGTTGATGGTAATCGAATCTCAGATCTATCTTTAAAAAGTAACTAGCTCCTTGAAGCTGGTCAAATAGATCATCGATTCATGGAAGTGGATACTGGTTTTTGATGGTGAGCTTATTCAGTTCCTCATAGTCAATGCACATCCTGAATGATCTGTCTTTCTTTTTAACGAAAAGAATGGGAGCTCCCCATGGAGAGAAGCTTGGTCGAATGAATCCTTTATTCAAGAGTTC